TGGAGCAGCTTCTCCATTCCCAGGGTCAGACATCCCTCTGTCTTGGCACAGGCTCTTCCCATTTTTCACCTAATGTTGTGGTTTGAGGCTCTCCCTCCCTGCCTGAGGCTCTTTAGCCCCTCACATTTTTCTCTAGGGATTTTCTCTGGGGCTGTGAAGGTGCCTGGACTCTACAGCACAATTAGAATGTGCTGGCACAGGGTGTGGGGAATGTAGGGCCAGGGTTTGGGGGGCTGCAAAGAGATTGCTGGTGTATTACTCTTCCCAACTTGTCTTGAGACATGGGGAGCTGAAGTCCTCTGTGTGTGATGCTTGGTGCTCTCTTAGGGTCTGTGGCACTTTTGGGTTGCAGGGATAAGTGGCAGAGAAGAGGGTGGATGAGCCCAGGAGTGACTGCACCAGGAGCGTCATCCTCTTCTCCAAAGGGTGTTGGTCTGGTCCCTGAGATGGGAATGGAGCTGCCATGGGCACCTTTGCACTGGAGTGGGAGAGCTCCTTCCATCTGGGGAAGCTGCTGGGATTTTAGGCTCTTCCTCACCTGCAGTCCCATTCCCAAAAAGCACTTTTTAGTTTGGAGTTTGCATGGCAGGAGGCTGACCTGGGCCTTGGGGTGTGGGAGAGACCTGTGTTGCTCTGATGTGCCCTCATTTACTGATGAAGAGCTTTTCTTCCAGCACAAATGATGCTTTTTGCTGCCACAAAGCTTCAGAAATCCCTGGTGGGAGCAGAGCTCTGGCAATGTGGGCAGCAAGGGAGGATCTGGGCAGGGGAAACGTTACGTCAGTGTCCTGAAGTGGTGAGTGACCAAAACTAAACATCAACAAGGCTTTGGGGGCCTCTGTACCCCATTGCTGGGGAGTCAGTTGTGCCCAGAAGGTCCGAAGGAGGGGACCTGGAGGGGATCCCTTGCTGGTGCCAGAGGCAGGGGGATCCCAGCTGCCTCTGCAGGGCCCCCCGCGACTGAGGTGGTGGCACTGGGGTTGTTTCCAGGTCTCTGCAGTGAAATCACAGAGTCCTGCCCTGCAGCTGTGGGAGCTGGACTGTGTTGTCCCCATGGGAAAAGCTGGTGTGGGTTAAACAAGCAGGAGCAGAGTTAAATCTGAGCTGAAGAGTTCCTTTCCCAGTCTCTGTTTGGGGGTAACATCCTGGTGGGGGCTGCTGAACTGGGGCTGTTTGGAGCTGCCTTCTGGACTGGGACCATCTCCTGGACTGGGGGTACCTGTGGAATGTCCTGGGCTGGCTCTGACCAAAGGTGGCACTGGCTCAGCCTCCCTTGTCAGATGCTCCTCATTGTAGGTGAAAGCTTTTCCTGATCACTCCAGTTTCCAAGGCTGGCAAGGGGTTTATAAATGGCTTTATAAATGGCCAAGGCTGCCCCTGTGGGTCAGGTTACTTTGGGAATTCTCCCTCATCCATGTGCTGCCCCAGGAGAGGATTGGCAAACCATCTTCCTTTCCCAGTTTTGCTGGCAAGAACAGTCACCTCTGTGCTTGAACTACAGCCCATTCAGTGTGCACTTGAGTGCCCATGGGTGCCCTGGGAGAGGTTTTGCCTTGCCCAGCTGTGACTGGAGCTCTGTCTCCTCTGTGTGGGCAGAAGGGAAACCCTGGGCTTGGCTGGGGGGTGCTGGAGCAAGGGGGCACAAATCCAGTGGGCACAAATCCAGTGGGCACATCTGCTCCTGCTTGGGTGAAAACAGGGCTTTGAGTCCTATGGTTTGTAGAGGAAAAGTGCCTGGAGTTCCTTTCCTGCTGTTTCTCTGCTTTCCTAAGTGTTTCTTACTAAGAATAGCTGCTGTTTCACCTCATGCCTGCCCTCCACCAGCTGCTTGGGGCAGCATTTCAGACTTCAGCTTGAGCTGCACAGAGTGAGTGACCTTGTTTTCCAGAGACCTTTTTTGAAGGGGCAGGAACTGGGTTTTGCCTTCATTTACCCCTTAAGGAGCTGCCACAGGAGGAAAGGTCTGTGAAACCTGTTTCCTGCAGCCCTTGCAGGGGGGTCACACCACAGGAAGTGCTGAGCAGGAATCAAGTGTGCTGGCATCACACTGGGATGGTTTTCTTCTTGGAAATCAGAAGTAGAGCAAGCCACAACTGAGACAAGATGACTTTTAGTTTATTCAGGGCATTGTTTACTTGATCTCTGGAGAGGACTTGCCCTGTTCCTCGTCCTCGGCTTGTTCCACAGCTCCTGCATCAGTTTGGCTGCTAAAAAATAGGTGAAGCAAAGAAGTCAAAAGCTGTGGTGGAGATTTGGGAGAGCCTTCCCCTTTTCCTTTGCTCTTACACACAAACAGGAGCTGCATTGGGTCCTGCCCTTCCCTCCCTGCTGAGAGATGAGACCGATAGTCCCGAGGGCCCACGGAGCACGCGGAAAGCTCCTGAGAACACCAAAGCAAGGATTTCCAGGGGTGGGGGGCACCAGAATCAGATTGAAAGCTCTGAGACCCCCTGAAAGTCACATCAAACAAGAGATCTGTAGAAGAAACAGAAAGGCTCCAGAGGTGCCCAAACCCACCCGAGGGGTATTGTTGGAGCTGGACCAACAGAGCAGGGCTGGTTTCCCTCTTGCCTCTCCAGCTCAGCTGGGAACACAAAAGCAAACCAAGAGCTTGAGGGGACCAGAGGGAAGACAGAGGGATTCAGAGTGCTGAAAAGCAGATGGAGGGATTGGAGGGGCCCTGGTGTCACCGAATTCCATACGGAGGGAGGTGGGGGCTCACCATAAAAGAACAGAAGCCTCTGGGGGCAAGGGAGGGGCACCACAACCAAATTAATTGCACATGGAAGACACCTGGTGGGTTTTTTTCAGCAGGATTCCTGTATCTCTTCTTTGAACTCCATGTGCTGGCACCCAGGTTTCAGCTGGATTTCATGGTGCATAAACATCCTGGGAGAATTTCCTTCTTGCTCCTGCTACGCAAGAGAAACCTTCCCCTTTCCACTCGGATCTTACAATGGCTTGTCAGTGACAAAACATTCCCAAATCCTCTCATTTATCAAATAGCCAATCCTGTTAACAGCTTAAGAAACATAATTACCTGCAATCTCTTCTGCTCTTCATTCTGTGCCTACACTCCCCTCTCCCTGGCAGCTTCCCAGCAGGCAAAAGGCAGGAGCTGGATCCAGGAAGAGCAATTCCCTCTGATCACCTGCACGAGGCTCACAAGGGTTCTGCCTCCCTGCTTGGAGCAGCAAGAGGCAGGTGAGGGAGGAAGGCACAGAAGCAAACACCCCCCAGTTGTGTGGAGCTTTCCAGGTGTGGCTGTGCCTTAAATGCTGATCCAACAGTGTGGTGGGAATATTGAGCAGGGTCTGCTTTTAGGGCAGAAGGAATCACAGCCAGATTTCATGGAATCACAGAATGGTTTGGGTTGGAATGGTCTCTAATGATCTTGTTCCACCCCCTGCCATGGGCAGGGACACCTTCCTCTAAACCAGGTTGCACCAAGCCCTGTCCAACCTGGCCTTGGACACTTCCAGGATCCAGGAGCAGCCACAGCTTCTCTGGGAATTTCATCCCAGCCCCTCACCAAGCTCAGAAGGAAGAATTTCTTCCCAATATCCCATCTAACCCTGCTCTCTGGCAGTGGGAAGCCATTCCCCCTTGTCCAAAGTCCCTCTCCAGCCTTCCTGGAAGCCCCCCATAAGGACTGAAATGCTGCTATAGAGTCTCCACAAATCCTTCCCTTCTCCAGGCTGAGAGAATTTACTTGCCTTGGGGTCCTTCTGTGCAGGTGGGCTCTGAGAGAAGCAGCAGCAGAGGCTGGTGCAGGTTTGCGGTCTGGAAGGAGCTGTGAGAGCATCATCATCAGAAAAGCAGGGCCTGAACCCTCAGGGAAAGGGTGAAGTAAGGGGGAAATGGGGATCAGCTGGAGACAGTGTGAGCTCCTGATTATTGCACTGCTCAAAGAAGCTGATTTTATGATTTTCTCTTATTTCTCTTATTTCTCTGCATTTACAACTCCTGAGAGACTTCACAATGGCTCATTTGGATCAAATCTGAGGGAGGATTTAGCAGAGCAACATTTGCAGGCTGGAGATCTGCTGCCTTCCTAAATGTTGGTTCTGTATGGAACAGCTTGATCCAAAGAGAACCCCCTTGGACCACCAGAGCTTCTCCTAGAACTGGAAAATTCCCAGCTCTGTCCTTCCCATATCGGCCTTTTGTGCCTTAAAATCTTATCTTGTCATGACATTATCCTATCATGGCATGTGTACACCCTCTGTTTAGACCTGCCTTCAGCTTGGAAGGATTTTTCTTATTCCTGCTGTGCTCCTCTTTCAGCTATTTTGGGTCCTTAGTGTTTTGGATAAATGATACACATTTCTTCTGACACATTCATATGTTATTTTTAAGCAGTTTTTTATGCTGCTTGCCAACATTTTCTCCTTACAGTTCTTTGAATTTTGTATTAAAACCTCCCTATGAGCAAACTGTACACAAACCACAAGATTTTTATTTTTTTTTTTTAAGTCAGGCATCATCTTAAGGGATTTGGGGCTTTTTGATCCTAAGATACTGAATTTGACTATATTTTGGTCACTGTTATAGAACAACCTTTTCTTAATAACAGTTTGAACCTCAAATGCTGAATTTGGCCATAACTGCCTAAAAACCTGCTTTTCTCACTGAAAATAATTTAATTTATGTCTCAAAATACAGACAATTACAGAGACTGATTTTCAGTATGGCCCAAAACATCATCTTCACCCAGGCACTGAAGAGTTTGGGTGGTTCTGGATCACCTGCCCAGAGCCATGTGCTGCTTGGGGACAGCAAGGAGTTGGATAAGGAACTACCTGAGCCTTGAGGAGAGACTGGTTTCTTGTGTCTAACAAGATATTATATATATAAAGGGAAATGAAGGACTGCAAATGAATAAACTGTACCTAAAGAAAGGGAAAACTAACCCGATAATAAAAAAAAAAAGTAGGACAGCTGTGCTTTTATACCAGAACTCGCTGTTTCTTTTATGACATTTATTTCATATCATGCAGACCCTTCAGAGCAGCACTAATGCCCAGTGGAGTTCTCCAGCCTAAATGTCTCGTTGTCAGTGGAAGAAACAAAGGTAATGTAATCTGAATGCTGGATGCAACAGCATAGGCTGCTGTCTGGGCTGATTCTCCCTGCTCCAAATGGGAATGATGGCTCCAAACAGACTCACCAGCACAGACTGAAGAGCAGACATCTGATTTGGGAGGAAATGGCCAATATCTCAGCTTTTTTCCCCACAATTTGTTTCTTCCTGGAAAAAAAAAAAAAGCCACAAAACAGTTGCACGAAGACGCCGCTGTTTCAAAGCAAAATTTTAAAACGTCTCTGATTTGCAAATGGCATTTCAGCATTTTCATGAGAATAAAATGCTACTGTGATGCTGGGTTTAAATATTTCATTCCAGCTCCCTGAACCAACTTAAAATCTTATTATAAGTCATTTTGACATGAAAGTGTGTTTCTCTGTGGTGCCCGTGGCTGAGACATCTCCAGCTCGGAGTGCAGCTGCAGGAGCCCTCCCTGCTCAGGGCTGATCAAAGGCAAACCACCCGTGAGCCACTGCTCGGCCCCACCACCCAGCCCAGGGAAAAAACAGGATCCTGAACATCCCAAGGGCTGATGCCATTGATGGAAAACACATATTCCTGTCGTAACCCTGCTGGGAGAAGGTTGGGTGAGTTTAGCAAACAAAACCGCAGCGGCTTAAAACATGGAATTGCAACAGTGCCACAGAGACAAGCTTGAGAAATTTGTTAAGAAGGGTATTAGGAATAAATCCCTGTGTTACTCTTTCCAGCATCAGGGTTAGTTCATGACTCTTTAATGTGAGCTCTCCCTCTTTTATGTCATATAGTCTGGAGGGAGGAAAGTGGCACTGACCCAAAATGAATCCTTCCTGTCCTGGGCTCCTCCCACTCTTCCTTGCTCTGTGAAAAAGTCCTTGTCCTCTGTGAGTGGTTTTTCTGAAAATAAGACCAGGCAAGGCAGGGACGACCACACTTTTTTCCTCTTCCTTTCTCTTTAAGATCCATGGGTTATTATTTTATTATGTATTTTCCAATCTGTGATCTTGGTTGTGCTCCAAAGTGCCTTGCCAGGACCTCGTGCATCAATTAGAAAAGGTGTGAGGAGGGACTGAGGGCACTTGGTGTGTTCAACTGGAGCAGAGGAGACTGAGGGGAGACCTCAGTGCAGTTCCAAGTGCCTGGGCAGGGGCAGAGGAGGGGCAGGGACTGAGCTCTGCTCTGGGGGGACCAGGGACAGCAGCCAGGGAATGGCTGGAGCTGTGTCAGGGCAGGCTCAGGTTGGATCTCTGCAAAAGGTTCTTCCCCCAGAGGCTGGTTGGGCACTGCCCAGGTTCCCCAGGGCAGTGGGCACAGCCCCAAGGCTGCCAGAGCTGCAGGAGGGTTTGGCTGATCCTCTGGGGCACAGGGCGGGACTCTTGGGGATGGTCCTGTGCAGGACCCTATGGATCTCTCCAGGCTGGGACAGAGGGACTGGGAAGTGCCTGTTGGGAAAGGCCCTGGAGGTGCCAGTGCCAGGGGCTGGACATGAGCCCAGGTGAGCCCAGGGGGCAAGAGGCCAATGGCCCCTGGGCTGTGCCAGCCCTGGTGTGGCAGCAGGACCAGGGCAGGGACTGTCCCTGTGCTGGCCCTGCTGAGGCCCCTCCAGGGCTGTGTCCAGTTCTGGGCCCTCATGGAAGAGAGACACTGAGGGGCTGGAGCGTGTGCAGGGAAGGGAACAGAGCTGGGAAGGGACTGGAGCAGCAGGAGCAGCTGAGGGAGCTGGGGGGGCTCAGCCTGGAGAAAAGGAGGCTCAGGGGGGACCTTCTGGCTCTGCAACCCCCTCACAGGAGGGGGGAGCTGGGGGGGGTCGGGCTCTGCTCCCAGGGAACAAGGGACAGGAGGAGAGGGAATGGCCTCCAGCTGTGCCAGAGGAGGGTCAGGTTGGACATCAGGAGGAATTTCTGCCTGGAAAGGGTGGTCAGGCATTGGCAGGGGCTGCCCAGGGAGGTTTGTAGTCCCCATCCCTGGAGGTGCCCAAGGAAGGCCTGGCCATGGCCCTCAGTGCTCTGGGCTGGGGGACAAGGTGGGGATGGGGCACAGGGTGGACTTGGTGACCTTGGAGGGCTTTTCCAACCTCAGTGATTCTGTGATTCCACAATTCCCCTCTCCCCCTGTGGCTCCACCCAGCCACCACCCAGCCTTGCAGAGGCTCTATAAGCACCACTGTGTTGCTGAGTAGCTTAAAGATCTCTCGACGTGTGTGAGTGAGGCCCCATCCAGCACAGGGAGGGTACAAGCAAGTGGAAATCAGGGCTTATGTTTGCCACTGATAAATGTATTAGTCTTTAGAGCGGAATTTAAACTACAACCCTTTTCCAGGCACCTCAGCGCTCCGTTATTTTGCAGGCCTTGTAAGAGAATGTGATTTTGCCTTTTAACTGGAGTGTATCTTATGCTAAGCAGCGAGATTAAGCGTAGGCATCCAAAAGAAGTTGCTGAATGGCAGAATTGCCTTTATAAATAACATTAATAATTTATCCGATCCAGGGGTTTTTTGGGTAAATGAAATACCTGCCTCTGTATAAAGCCCGCTGAATAGGAACACATCTCCGCTTTTATGAAGCCGGGATTAAAGAAGGGAAATGCTAAGGGGCTTATCTTCGCTTCAATTTGCAGCCCTTCCGGCGAATGGCAAAACCATTTAAGGAGCTCCTGTGTTTGTGCCAGCTCGGCTTTTGTTCTGGGTGCCGGGGCTTGGCTGCATTTCTCACCACGGCACTGGAGAGGAAGCAGTTTGTTTTCTTGACCTCAGATTACCAGACAAAAGCGAGCAGGAATGATTTCCCTCAGAGTCCTCCCCGTTATGGGTTGCTTAAAGCTTCTGTTGGGCGGCCACGGAGCCGCTGCCAGGCCGGGGACCCCACGTGTGAGAGAGGCCAGGGCTGGTGGCTGAGAAGGGAGGAGAGCAAAGAGCATCTGTCGTCTTGCTGCTGGGATGGCTGAGTCCTCCTGCAAACAGCCCTGAAATGGCAAAACTCATCCTTCCCAAAGCCCATGAGCTGTCACTTCGCAGCTTTTCTTTCGCACTGGTAAAAATCAATTGCTTCGAAGTTCACCGAAGGTGAAGGCAACATTTGCTTTCCATTCAGAGCTAAGCAGGCCCTGCTCAAGAGCAAAGGCTCTCGAAAGGCAGAAGAGTAAAAATCAGCAGAAAAATTCTCTGAATAATTTGGACTAGGCAAGGAAAAAGCAATTTGCTCCCAGTTATTCCGCAGACAAAAGTATGAATAAAAAAAATCATGAGCTATTTACCCTGACTGGACTGTTTTCACGAGGTTTGTGCTATCCCAGTTTTGCTTCACTGACCCCCAAAGACCTTTATCACCAGATCCTCGAGGCATTTTGAGAAATCATGGGGTTTGGGGGATTATCTTTTCTTTTTTGTTGCATGCTGGATCAGCAGGGACCAAAAGCAGAGAAAACAATTGGGTCCTAAATCTTCAACCATGCTGCTGCTTGTGTGTGCACTGACCTGGACGGGGACTCGGGCTCTGGCCAGCCAACTCCACCAGCACAGAAATTTTATCCCAAATACTATTACAGGCTCTGGTGCTTTGCATTCAGATGATGAGGCTGTGGCAAAGGCAAAGTGGGAATCTACAATCTGCTTTAGAAAAACCTGGGACTTGTGTTTAGCTGTGTATTTTAAAGGCAGTTTATGTCACATCTGCTGCACGTGGTGGCACTGCCCAGGACACCCAGAACTATGCTGCTGATGAGGAGAGGAAAAGAAAGGAGGATGGAGACCTCATAAGCTTTATCAAAACCCACCAAAAAGTCAGGAGATTTGGGGATTATGCCGTGTAATTACATTACCTGAAGAAAAAAGTTGCCTGAGAATTCCCTGTCTTGTGTTGCCAGCGCTTTTCAGCCATTAGTAACACACAACTTCACATTGTCTTCTCCCGAGGCACAGATGGGCTAATTTTCAGCTACCTGATAATTACACATTGTTTGAAACTACATCAAAAGCTTTTCTTCCTGCAATCCTCCAGCAGCCATTCCTACAGCTCCCAAAGTCCCTTGGCTGGGGCTTGCAAGAGTCCCCATCCCTGAGTCCATCGGTCCATCCAGAGGGCCAGGAGTGGGGTGGCAAAGCCTCCAGGTTCACACTCAGGTTTCACAGGCTCTTTGTAGAGATTTGTACCATTTCCAAACCAGGTGGAGTGACTGAAGCTCCACCAAAAGCATCTTCTCTACGCTAAGTATCTGAGATTAATACATGATAATGCTGTGTTGGGGTGGTTCTAGTTAAATACACAGAGGGGTGTTGATGCCATGGAGAAATTAAGGGCAAACTGATACTGGATGTTGGAAATCAGCATAACTGAGGTTTAATCTCAGTTTTCCTTGGCCAAGGAGCTGTCCTTGGGCAAAGCTGTGGATTGCCAAACTGGAGAAAGGCGACCTGTTGGAAGAGGGGAAGGTTGACATCCCCTCCTCTCAAGCCATGGTGGAGGCTGCAGAAACCTCCCTCTCCCTTGGTCCCTCCTCTTTGAGAGTGGTTTCTGTGCCAGTTGAGCTGTGACTGGTTTTAGAGGGTGTCCCTCTTTTCCCTGACTCTTTTCCCTGTCCCTCTTTTCCCTTTCCAGTGGGAAAATGAAAAAGACTTCCCCACTCCTGTTTTCTCCTTCCCTATCATCCAGTGTCCCTGTTGCCTTATCAAAGAAGGAAATTAAATTGGGTTGACACAACTGGCTCTTGACCAACTCATGTCCTTTGATTTTATTCATCCTTTTACAAGTTGCTCATTTAAGACTTTCTTCCAGCCTCTTTTAGGGAATTGATATTAGATGATTATTCAGGATTTTTTAACTCCAAGTATCCTCTTCAAAGGGAGGTGCTTTCTCTCATCTCAAGGGACCTTCATCAATTTGGAAGATAACGACCAAGGGTTCCGTGTTCTTGAGTGAATTTCATCAGATCCTCTCATTTGAATATATTTGACATATCCAAATGGCTTTAAACTCCTTTCCTTACACTGGCCTTCTCCTTCAAAGTCTGCTTCATTAAGCTTCACCCACAATTAACAATTTTAGAAAGAATGGAGCAACAGAGAATGGAGCAGCAGAGATCCCTGCTCTGAGTGCTCAGTCTGCTCTCTGTGCACCCCTCCACATCTTGCTGTTCTCCTTCTGCATCCAATGTATTTGCAGACCCTCCCAAACCTTGTGTGCCCATCTCAACTGCTCTCACGCTGTGAACCTGGATTAT